TTCATTCATTCGTTCCTCCGTCTTGCATCCAGGTTTCCTCGCGTCCACGTGTATGCTCCTTCCTGATCTCATGCACGTGCGTGTGGAGCCACCTTCCAGGGTGGCGGTCGCAATCCGACATCTCACACCTCCAAGCTGCACATCAACCAACGTCGTTCGCATTGCCATCTGACAAGCATCATGCCGCCCGCGCAGTCAGCAGCCAAACTGGAGCGGGAGAAGAAGCTGAAGGCAGTCCTCAGTGAGTGCACTACCTCGCGCCTGCCCTACGCGTGACACTCACCTTCCCACCAGCATTCGCCTCGACGCTCAGCAAGCGCATAGAAGCCGGCAACCATGCGACGATCAATGGTGAGCTTCAGGCCCAGATTCTTGGGCTACCACTCAAAACCTCATCTACCGTCACCGCGAGGCAGGAAGAACTCGACAGGCTGGGAACAGAGCTTTGGAATGAAGCTACGCGCTTGCGACGCGACACTTCCGTGGTCAATAATCAGCCGAAGGATTTAGCAGCAGACAAGACCAACGTGGTACCTTGCCTCCGTGCGTACGCATTCCTACTCCTCGACTCAGCTGGCGGTCGCGGACCAAATAACGTACGCCAGCGCAAGAGCTGCATCCGTCTCATGAAGGTTGCAATGAAAGCTGCAAGAGTGTGCATCGAGGCGAATGAGTTGATCATCGCGACAGACCTACTCAAGCTCGCTGCTGAGTACGAAGACGTTCTGAGCAAGGGACCCGACGACAAGCCTGAGAAGGACACCGAGCTCGCAGATGGCCTACGTGCGCAGTACTTCGCTGTGCGGATGACTTTGTCGTGGCGTCAAGATCAGATGGGCATGGCAGAGCATATGTTCGAGAAGTGCAGGCAAGTCAGGAAAAGCTTTACCTCTACCATCACTGAGCAGCTTGCCGATCTGCTGTACGAGATCGGGAAGGCTATGTTGGCGAAGCGCGATTGTGAAGTTGCTACGAGATGGCTAGAGCGCGCATTCGATGTTCTTGGGGAGCAGGACCTGGACATGCTCAGTCCAGAAATTGGTGAGCTGAGGCTCAGTATCATGCAAAGTCTTGGTATGCACGTTCCCTTAACATGGCGATCAAGCTCTGGCTAATGAGGTCGTCAGTCAAGGCGTATATGAAGACTAAGACGCCTATTGCCCAAGAGAAGGCATGGCAGATGGTGAAGTTGATGGAGACTGTGCGTCTCGTGAACAGTCTGGCTCATATTTGTTTTTGACTAACGCTCTTCAGGACTTCGGGGATAAGATGATTGTCTCATTGCTGAAGATCGAACTGCTGTCCGAAGCCGAAACCATGGACACGTCCGAGTTCTATAATGGCAAGCTCCTTGAATCTGTTCGCCATCACGCGCTAACTCCCTTAGTCCTTCTGCGCATGATCCGTACCATCGTGCTGAACGATACAAACTTCAAAACGTAAGCACCTCACCCGTTAGCCTTTCTAATTCAGTCTGACTAACACATTCTAGCATCATGCACTATATTCATAAGCTCAAAGAACACAGGTACACATAATCATAAACGCCTACAGCGTCTCGCTGACCACTTCTAGCAACGCGACCGCCTGTAAGGTACTGGACGACCTGATCGATATCCGGCTCTTTCGAGAGGAAAACCAGTCTTGGATCGAGAAGGCAGTCATCACGCGTATCTGGATTGGGATCAACAACAGTCTTTCTGAAAATTCGCTCGAGCAACTCAATGATCTTTTCGATACCGTGGCGCAGAACTCCAAAGTTTCGCTCTCTGCGCCTGCCACACATGCTGCGCAAACCCTCTTGTGGAAGAAGGTGGAGGCCGCGTCCAGCCAGGAACAACATAACATCGCTGAGGCTTGGTGTCGAGCATGCCTTCATGACATCTTCGAGAAGGCCGGCGTTCAGAACAAAACCAAGGTTGCGAGGAAGATCATACAGTGCGCCTTGTCACGTCAAGATTTCGATGCTGCTCGAGAAGTGCACGCCAAGATGCCTGAGAGTGGTAAAGACGACCCAGTAACTCGCTACCTCATGTACAAGGCAGGTCTGCGAGGCGGCGACGAGATCTTCGCCGCTGAATGTCTCGACTGTGTCTGTCGGAGTTCCGCGAAAGACGCTACCCTACTTTACGCTTGCGTCATGGAGGCTCAGAGTGCGGGGAGCAAAAGACAGGCTATCAATGCTCTCGAGAAGGTTCTGGAGAAGTACGAGCATAGTGCGCCGGCAGGGATACATCTCCCTGCGCTCTTACGGTACGTCGCTCACCCGAAGTGTTACGCGCCTCTAATATGTGACCAGGTCTACCGCACGTATGTTGGAATCCGAGCTTACTAAAGATGGCAACATTGATACCGGTATCTTGGAACAGATCTGCAATGTCTTTGAGGGAGGTACGTCGTTATGCACTTCCGGAAGAGGCGCTTTTACTGATTGTCAAAGCATGCGTTCAAGCCAAGGCATCTCGTATCAGGCCGAGCACGCCGGCTAAGGAACTATTCACAGCCGTGGAGTTTGAATGGTTTTCTAAGAACGCTTACAACATGTCGCTGAAGTACTGCGCGGAGATGCCACCAGGACTTCTGGTCAGGTTGCTCGGATGCTGCACTGAGGTGAGCTGAACGCCAAAGACGGAAGCAATACCGCTGACCTTTGCAGTTCATCAAGCTTCTCAAGGAGAAGGTCCAACCAAATCCAGACGGTGATCTTTGCCTCCGGCTGGTGTTCTGCGAGTTCCTCGCTGCTTGTACCTACACCACCCTGGCCCGCGCAGAGGATAACACCAAGCAAAGTGTGAGTCGCGCATCTCACCAGAACGACCCGTGTCTGACTATTACAGATTGGTTACTACCTCGAAGCCCATAGGCATAGCCAGGAGTTCCGACGCACCGCAGCAGAGAGCATAAGCAAACTTTGTGGAACCTCTCAAGACGACATCATGTCAAAATACTTCCAGATTGTCAAACTGGAGCTCGAGGCTGTCCTAAAGCTTGAGAGATGGGATGAGCTTGACGATCTATTCGACCAGTGCTGGAAGTACAAGAACCCGGATCATTACGAGACTCTGGCAGATCTCGTTCTAGTCGTGCATGGCTGCATCGTGAAAGCAGGACTAGAAAACAAATATCAGAAGAGTAAGATCATCGAACTACTCGCTGGATAAAGACTGACGAAGTTGACAGAAGTATTATCTGTTCTTCAGAAAATCATCAACCTGACTTGCCGCCAACCAGCAGGCCGCGACATCACGAAACTGGCACGCTGGCTTAGATGCATGTTCAGCCTTTCACTCGAGTACGACGAGGATGTCAGCATCAAATGCATCCAGCAAGTAACGCATCTCGCTGCGAAGCAGAAAAACGTAAGTTCCCGCACCCTAGCAATCCCGATATATTCCTAAGCCCAGTCAGACCATCCATCCCACCATCACGACAGCCGGACTGGATACACCGCCGCCATCTTCTGATTTCGCCACAAACGACGACACTGCAGACCTGGCTGACGAGTACATCAAGGAGATCGACTGCTACCCCAAAACCGAGCTCGAATGGCTCGCAAGCACCGCTTTCAATCGCGCCGTGGACTTTTACCTGTCAGAAGACGATGTTAAGACGAGGAAATGGGCAGAGCAGGCGTTCATCGTCGCACAGTGGATCGACGATAAAGGTGCGATGCGAGATTTTCTGATGGACAGGTTCGCGAACCTGAAGTTTGGCGATGGCGAGGAGTCGGCGGCGGTGCAGCGAGCGGGCTGACAAGCGGTTGGCATCTTCCGAACCCGATCGTGTCCAACGGGCGGCAGGATAAGCACTTAACGCGCTAGAGGCATAGCGCGTCTGCTGCATTTGTGGCTTCGTGGCTTTCACAACCTGGGCATTCGCATCCTCCTCCACTGATAATCGTTAGCTAAAATTATATACGTAAGTCCTGAACTCTGCTCCGCAAGATTACGCCACGAGAAGTGGGGCGAGATGCCGAGCGGCCGTAGGTTCCGCGCGGTCAGAACCTCAACTTTTCGCACGACGGCGCTGTGTAATGTCGGCGTCGTCGGTGTTGCGGCGGTCGTGCAAAAAGAAAAGGAGGGAGCCTGGCCAGGGGAACTCTGACTGTGGAAAGTGAGTCGATTGCATGTGAGTCGATGAAGAGTCAGGCCAATCATGGGATTCTGAGTTTGGCATGCGACGCGCACGCGACATGTATCCACATTTGGACGTTTCTGACCCATGTATTCCCGGGGATGCAATCACAGCGAGGCTCGCACTGCACAGGCGTCGTCATGTTCCTTAACGCTTGTCAAGGATGACGCTGGCTACGGGGTGGGTGGGGGCGGTGGAGGGGAGGCGGAGGGGAGGCGGAGGGGCGGTGGTGGATGTTATCTTCCTTTTGCTAATTCTTAGTTGCAGGAAGAATGTTCTCCCTATTGTAGGCAGGGTACCTGATGTTGAGATAGGCACCTGGGCATGTTGGGAGTGTGTTCAGAAGATGCTGGCCTGACTGCCTAGGTACGACGCGCACGCGACATGTATCCGCTTTTGACGGATAGTTTGCCGGGATTGTGATGCACAACAAGGCTCGCACTCGCACAGGCGTCAACTGCGTCGTCAGATTCCTTGACGCGCAAGGATGACGCTTCCTACTCCCGCGGTTAACGACCTATACCCTCACAGGTCCACCCACTTTTTGCTTCCATTTGCTGGGTCGCATCGCTTTGCTACCACTACACCCTCACACCTGTCGCCTGTCACCTGTCACGCAGCGTAGCCTACCACACGATGCGGTTCTTCTCGCGGCTGCACTTATGTGCTGCCCTTGCCATTCTCATGATCTTGTACTTTACCTGGGTACATTCCGCCAATTTCGAAGACACCGTCAACACCGTATGGCGCGGTAACGCGCACCGCATAGTAGTCTTCGGCAACGATTGGTCCGACACAGGAAGCTACCGCGTCTCTTCACCCGTGCTATCTGCAGTCGTAGCCCGCGACGCAGATCGAGGCGACCTATGGGTGGAAACGCTTTGCAAAGAGGTTCGTCAGAGTCATGCCCTCATGCAAATACACAGTTTAACACACTCCAGCTCGCATGTGACACGATTGACAACTTCGCCCACTCCAAGCCAGCCGCGGCTGCACACATCGGATCGCTAGTCGACGCAAACGTCCACACGGAAACGAAAGGCGCGGGAAGCAACGAGACAACCGTCACGTCGTTTGACTTCAAGACACAAATGGAACAGTACGTCGCCTACGACAAGGGGCGACGAGTCATCCCCGAACGCCTGCGGAAAGGAGACGAATGGACTTTCTTCACGGTCTTCTTCGGCTTGTGGGATCTGCTCGAATACTCTACGTTGGAGAAGCCTGTGGCCATGTCCGCGGTGGACAAGAGCATCGAGTCGCTCTTCCACAGTCTCGACATCCTGGCCGAACACGCAGCCCACCCGCCCAACGTCGTCATACCCAAAATGATCGACGCGTCTTTCCTCCCGCAATTCCAAGTACAAAAGAAAGCCATGCGGGAAGCCGATTTCGCGGTGACTCAGCACCGAATGGTGTTTCTATGGTCATACTGGAACACAGTCTTAGTTCGGAAAGCTGCAGAATGGAAAAACGGCGCCATCTACATGCCTGAGCCGAATGCTATCATCATGAACGAAGTCCGTGCCAAACAACTGCACTCGCGACAGATCTCCGATGCGACCGGTGTTGGGGCTCAGGCACCGCTTTTCGAACACGTTGATACGCCCTGCTTGGATGCTGTAAGGGGGAGTGGGTTGGTTAAATGCTCGGCCCCGACTGAGCACTTGTTTTGGTAAGTCATGAGTCCGGCCCTCGATCATTTGATACATCCACTGCTTTCACGCTCCTTTCAAGCCACAAATCATAGGCACAACACAAACGCTTTGTCTCTGTTTCAAGCTAACGAGTTGATGTGATAGGGATAATATTCAGCTCAGTGGGCCGGCTCATGAACTCATTGGCAAACATGCCGCGAACTTGGTACGCGGGAATCGGAGCATTAATGCTGTGCGTGAAAAGAGTGAGGAAGAGAAGAAGCAGGAAGATGAGCGAGTGCAGTTTAAGCTCAAGTTTCCTCCAGGGTATTAGCACAAGACAATGTCTGGAACTCGGCCGAGGCTGAACGGAGCTTCCTGCTTCCCCGCGACACGGACACGGACGTAGGAAAGAGATACAGATCGGAGAAGCAGGAAGGAGCGAGCTTTGACCTCAAGTTTCTTCCGGGATACTATCACAGGTCATTAAGAAAGTGTCTGAGACCTCGCCAACAGAACGAAGTTTCCCTCGGGTTGTCAGCACAAGTTGTCAAAGACACTGTTTGGAACTTGGCCATGGCTGAGAAGAGCTTCGTGGAACTACATGGTCACCCGCGACACGGGGTAAAATGCGCCTCGCTACAACCAGGACGGCATATGGTGGCAAGGCGCAGTATGACTGCATCTTTTTCAAGAGTGAGCCACAGTCATTGTCATGAAAGAGAATGTTGTATTGTTGGCGAGGACTGGGGAAGTGGGGAGGGTGGAGGGGAGGCGGAAATCTCTGAGGTCTATTGCCTCCCTGGCTCGCGCCCGTCTTTCGATGCTTTGACTGCATACACCATCAGTCGTAATAGGGGAGACTATCGTCTACAGCTTCGCTTCTGAGCTGAGCCACAGCCGTTGCGATGCGGCACTGCAATGCGGGAAGGTGTTGCATTGTTGGCGCCCCTTGCATAAGCCGCGCATCAAAGTACCACTCCAATGACGAACGCGAGACAAGACCAGGCCCTGGTCTGAGACAAAGCCCCGGCTCTTATTTGCATAGCTGACGCAGGAATGTACATGTCTCGCGGTTGGTGGAAGCTCGTCTTGGCACGCTCCCGAAGTAGTAGAACAAAGAAACCGCCAGCGCAGATCGGCTGCATATGACTGGAACAATCATTTTACTGGATCACGGCTGCTACCATCGTCAAAGCGTCAAAGATCCAACTCTAGCTACCGGATAATGCATTCAAAGATACGGACATGTTGTTAATGGTTCGTTACCAACGCGGCTGTTCCCTCCCTTCGTGTCCGACCGAGGACAATGAACCGTGCCTTCTTCCATCGGAGTCATTAGGTCAGCTCCCGCGTCTCTAGAAATCGAAAATGCTAGCCAGTCGAGTGTTGCCACCGATTGTTTGGACTTTGACTCCTTCTTCTCCCCATTCTCCGCCTGTCGCTAGCTTCTTTCACGTGCCGAGGCGGTACGTCAAGACAAACATGCAGAATGGTGATGCCTCCCCAGTGTCTCCGATGGACGATTCGAAGCCTTCGAGAAACTTGCGCAAGAGCAGTCGGATCAACGAGACGCGTCCAGCTTCCACTTCTAGTCCTACTGCTGAGCGTACTAAGAGGGACGAGCCGCCAGCCTCTCCTGCTTTGTCGTCTCCGAGGACTACAAGGAAAAGACCTTCGCCGCTGATTGAGATTGACGGGGCCGACGACTTGATCAGTCCCTCTGACGATAAACCTCCCCCGAGTGCTTCATCCGCTACAGCTGGCGGCGAGCCAGACTTCTCAGGGCATGTTTGCTTGTGTCAGCCAGAGCCGAAAATACCGCGTCCGCGAAATGGTAAGTCGATATTATCTTCCTTGGTCTTGGATGTACGTCACTTTCCTAATCGGAGCATTTGACTCGGATTTGACTCAGAACAAAGACACCCATCATTGTTTGCGGTCATTCTTGCGCAGCCTGCTGACTATTGCCCTGTAGCTTTTATTCTTTATCGACAGCACCACCAGCAGGCCATTACCGCTCGTAATCCGGGTCTAAACAATCCTGACATCTCAAAGATTATCGGTGAACAGTGGAAGGCTGAGGGTGAAGAGCAGAAGAAGGTTTGGCAAGACCTTGCGCAGGTTAGTGGCCCTTGGCACCTTACCCTCCATTGTCTTTGTTAATGTGAAGTCAGGAAGAGAAGGCTAGGCACCAGGAACAATACCCCGACTATCGCTACCAACCGCGTCGTCTTGGCAAACCTGGGTCGTCACCGTTGAACCCTACTGGCCAGCATACGACAGTTGACAAGTACCGTTGTCACAAGTGTGGTGGCCGCAGTCTGAGAACACCTACCAGTCCTTTCCTCGACGCCTCTGGCACCCCAACTCTGCCGCCTCCTAACATCTCGGAAGGCCTCACGCCAACAACTCGTTACCTACCCGTGATGAGTAACCTTAGCCTTGAGTCGCCCGGTCATCGCCGAGGCCCCATTCCACCAAGCCTCAGTAACATTCAGCTCAATCCGACCATGCGTGGAGACACGATGATGTATAGCCCTTTGACGCCGAACAAGAAGCGCCGCTTCGACCAAGGGCCTCCGCCAACGAGTAACGGTCGTAGACCAGACGGATCGCACAACGGCCCGATCCAGCAATACGCTGTCTATCGACGCGAGTCTTTGCCGCCCATCCATGTGACGCCACACAGTGCGACGATGCCTCCTCCGAGAACCCCTCGCGAGATGCGCCATCAGTCAATGGTTGAGCTAGGATCTCTACAGTCCGATGGCAGTCCCAAGAGCGTAGAAGAAGTTCTCAGTGCTTTCCCATACCCCAATAAGATCAAACTCCTCGGACGTATAACGCCTCCCTATCAGTACAAAGAGCCTGGTTCCGCCAGCCCATCCTACCGCGCCAATCGCGGTGCCATCATTGCGATCGAAGGCGACGACCCAGCTGCCGTCAAAGAACTCACAGAATGGCTCAACGAATACCTCATCAAGCAAAAAGAATACAGTCCCCAAATCGCCGAGCCACCGCAAGCCCCCACCAACAACGCCGACAAAGAAGTTACCTTCGAAAACTACCTCGACCTAATCAAAGAATGGCACGCCAAGAGCAAAGAAATGATCAAATACATCACCACCACACCCACTTCCCCCACAGACACCCCGTCACCCAACAACAGCGACACAATCATCGTCTCCACAAAAGACACCCGCAAAGACTCCGCCACACCCCCCGACTCCCCCTCCCACTCCCTTTCTTCCACCTCCCCCACCATCAAACCCGTAATCCTGCTCCCAACCTTCCAACTCGCCGCCTCCATCGCCTACGCCTCCCGCATCCCCATCCAAGATGCCTACAGCCCAACCGACCACTGGCAGTGGATGGCGACGCTGTGGCGCGGCACCGTAGGACCCGATTTGACGTTGTATGTGAAGAGCTTTGATCCGAAGGAGGGGCAGGTGGGGCTGAAACCGGAGATGGACGAAGGGGTTAGGTGTTTGAGTGTTTGGAAGGCGTGTGGACCTGGTGGCAGGTTTGCGGATGCGGATTTGAGGAGGGTGGGGTTTGAGGTGGGTGAGTGGGTTAAGGGTTAGTGTGGTGTGGGAGAGTGGTAGGACTGGGTGTTTTCTATTTCTCTGGGGTTCTTCTTTATTTCTTAGTCTTCTATCTTTCGGAGGAGAGGCGTATTTGGTGTGACGGTCATGTGTTTGGTGTAGTTTGATGTGGTTTGGTGCTGGTACGGTCCTTACACAAAGTAGATCACGATGATAGAATCTTCAACTTATAGATAAAGAAATGATATATAACTTGATACACGAGGAGGACTGTTAGGATCAAACCAAACATCCCTCTCATCCTTCCATCAAGCCTTTGATAAACAGCGGGGCGACCCCAAGTCATTATATCTGATCCCTCGCGTGGAAAACGGCTCGACCGAAGCTTGCTTGGACAAGATTCTGTATATTCACTTCACTTCATCAGTACCTAAGTATCATATTACCTTGCCCATTTCGAGCAGCCATTTCCCAGCGAGAGGTGCGAAACTTGAATGTAGTCTAATCTATCAACAGTCAAACTCCCTCCCCCGGACTATCGGCGGCACCCATTCGCTCCACTCTTTACAATGGATGACATGGCTTTTCTTCTCGCTCAGGACAACTCCAGCTCTCCTCCCCTATCTTTACCATCAACACCAGCACCATCAAGCAAAACAACACTCCTGATAGAACAGAAGAGAGGACGTCCACCACGACCCACCCGTGACGGTGCTATGGGGGTGTAAATGGAAGTTGCTCTGTGCTTGCGTTGAGCGTGTCAAGAGGGTTGGTGAAGTACTTCTTCCGCGCCTAGCATGGCGTTGAGTGAGGATCCGCTCGTGGAAAGATGGCAATGCAATATCTACGCGTGTGCAAGTAAAGTGTAATTCTCATGTCTTTTCATTGTCCCAGGGACTCTTGTACTCGTTACTCTATTCTACCCCCAACCTCTCTACTCCAACCCATGTTGACATCCAACATCTTAGTTGCACCTTCCCCACTTGCTCTGGCACCAGTTGGCCTTTCCGCAGAAGTCCTCACCAGAGCCACAGAAGTTGGAACCAGAGCAGCAGAGGTTGTTACCACACTTCTTGTTAACAATAGGACCGCACGTCTCGCCCTCACCCGAAGTGCCCTTGGGCGCAGTAGGCTCAGCAGGCGCCTTCTGGTTGTCGCACTTTCCGAAGCCGGCCTGGCAGCCGTCGCCGCAGTACAGGTTCTGGTCCTGAATATCGTTCTTGGGGCCGCAGTGGCCGGCGGATGAGCAGCAGCGGTAGAAGAAGCCGTTGGCTCCGGCGCCGGGGCAGGTGACGCCGCCTTGGGCGTGGCCGCAGACGTCGATCTCGGGGACGGCGGTGGGGAAGGTGGTTGCGGGTGAGGTGGCTTGCTTGGTCGCCGAGGTCTTCATCGTGGTTGGGGTGGGCTTGCAGGATGAGGAGGCGCCGGAGAAGGGGTGCATGCAGTTCTTTGCGTCGCAGTGGGCGGGGGTGGTTCCGCACCAGCCGTACTGGGAGCCTGTGATGCATTGTGAGCAAGAATTCGAAGATAGGAGGGTGTTGTAGACTTACAGCACTCGTTGGCAGCGCACTTGGCGTTTCCATTCTGGGGTCCGCAGTTACCAGCAAAGGCAACCGAGACCAGCGAGAGGAGGGCGAAAGCTGAGAAGCGCATCTTGATTATGATTATTCTATGTCGAAATAATTGACGTGTAGAAAGCGAGTGGACTGTCGAAACGATAAAGAGTCGACGAAAAGATGCGTGAATTAGACAGACGACCTTGACGATAGATAGTGAAGAAACGAAACCCACAGATAGCAGCGAGCTCAGCTCTTTAACAACAGCCCCTCTCGTATTGACCCATGGCCCACGCACCCAATAAACACCGTCCGCCCTACCGCGCTCGTACATCTCCACATGGACTGACGCTGTCCGCAAGCCCTAGGCCCGCGCTACGAGACCGCCAGCGCTGAGGCGCATGTCAAATACGGCCGCTCGTGCCTGAACGCACGGATGCGACGTCTCCCCAAAGCGTGCAGGTTCGGAAATTTACCAATGGCAAGTTTCGGCCAGACTGATCGGGAAGGCCGGCATCCTTCACACGAGGTTTAAGGTGCTGATTACATCGTGATTGCGGGTTCGCTTGTTGATCGTTATGTCGCGGAAGATCTACTGGATCGTCGCCGAACGACAGCGTCATGGAAACCCAATTCTCGTTAACCGTTGAACGCGAAAAAGAGTTACTTTCCATGCTAACCAGACGGCGGGTTTGGAAGATTTGCGACGAGTGGGAACAGTCGAGGGGATCAGCCCTAAGGAATCAAGCATCTCGCTAAATGCTGACTAGCTGGGCCGGACTCGACGCAACCCCTGACTCTCTCTCCTATGCCGTGGTACAAAGCTTTGAGGCGTGAGCTTAGCAGGCAGGCGAGTCCCAGCTGGAATGTTGGATAGTCCGTACGAATAGCCCAGCCCGTGCAACCCGTTGGCATTTTGTGACGTTGTTGGACGCCTGAATGGGACGTTGGCCGAGTGTAGCTGGTAGCGAGCTCCAAATATAGCTATCGATAGGAGGCCGCATCGAGATGGGGTTGCAGAGAGCTCGGCATCAAGAAAAAGCAGAGTTGCTGGGCTCAGGTGAGCAATGCGATGCTTGGTAGTCTCCTAAGATGCATTGGAGAGTGCGCGCGTCATTGAATACGCGCGGTAGGAGCGCACATGATGCAGTGTCACGACAAAAGTGGGATGATGGATTGAAGTCGCGGTACTGTAATATTGTGGTAGGGGCATCGTAGCCGAGGCCCAGAGCCGCGTCTCTTAGATGCGGTAAGCACCACATCACGGATGTATACAAGCAGAGGTCTGCAAGTCTCTCCAGCAATAAAACCTACTTGCACACCGCGTTTGTGATACCATATTCTTCTGCTCAGTGCAATCCAAAACAAAATGAATCTCGTTCTCTTACACGCGGCCTTATGCTTTTAAAGTTCTTGAACAGCGGTACATTCCAGCGCACATGCCCATCCAAAAACTCAACCCAGCATCTCCATCTTGGCCCCTCATGCCATGCCTCAACACCCCCTCTTTCCTTACCCAAAAACCAGCAAAAAAGAATGTATTTTCCGACACCGGGAATCTGATTAATCGTTAGAACCATGCTTCGAAGTCATGTTGCTGCGATGCGAACTTACCGAACCCGGGCCTTGCCGGCACTGTACAGTGAACTGACTCTGCGAGATGAGAGCGGCAAATCCTAGCCACTAGACCATATCGGAAATTGATGGAAGGATGTGAAGTTAGAACAGATAGATTGTTAGTGGTTGGGGTTGTGGTGGTGAAGTTTGTAAAATTTGTTCGTCGCCCCACCCATCACCAACGAACATGAGGTTAGCGGGACAAACCAAGAGTATGACTGGTTTGAAAAGATGGAGGCGGGGTAAATGTATTTAGTATCTGGTTTATAATATGGGGTTACGTGGAGGTCATAACGAACTGGCAGATCCGAGTATACGGCTATGGCTGGGCCTATCAAGCAGTCTGAACAACGCGACTACAAAGCTAGAGCATAAAAAAATGCTGCAGTTCATATATACGTTATGCCAAGTCATTCTACGATATGTCTGCCATCATTGTATCAACCTAATAATCTCCATGCCACTCCGTCTCGTCATGCGGTTTGAGTACCGTATCGCGCTTGTACCACGCAAACCAAGCAATGGCCAGTGTGATTATGAGTACCAGGGCCGTCGTCGCTTCGGTCGACATGAGCGGGGTCGATTGAGAAAGTCAGAGCTCGGACTTGTCGCCGAGGGCAGGTATTTGCTGGTTGAGGTAGGACTCGAGGTGATCGATCTCATCTGGGTCGGCGGAGTGCACGAGGTTCCTGCGCCTTGTCAGTACTCTCCCTATCACCCTACGCGCCTAACGTACTTGTAAGTCCTAAAGTCGACCTTGAACCCGTGCTTCTCGAGCTCCTCTGCGCTCAGCTTGCCCCACTTGTGCGCAACCACTTGGTCAGCATCGCCGTGGCCCATGAAGATGGGCGTCTTCTGATTGGGGTTCTCGGTCGGCATCATGTCCTTGATCTTCTTCTGAAGAAGGAGATAGCAGCTAAGGCCGAAGATGCCTCCGAGTTGCTCCTTGTATGTCACACCGGACAGCAGTGACATGGCGCCTCCTTGCGAGAAGCCTCCAACGACTACGCGGTTGGCGGGTATGCCCTTTGCGACTTCTTGGTCGATAAGGGAGTGGAAGTATTTCTGGGACTCGATGATGCCCTTTTCGTCTTCGTCGCGGTCGTCGAGCGTGCTGAGCGACTTGATGTCGTACCATCCTGGCATGCTCATGCCCATGTTCTGTGTCGCGTATCAGCGATGTGCCGTGTGTTTGCGTCGGACTTGGTCAACGAACCAGAGTGATCGGGATGTTTGGCGCATTGGGGAAGATGAAGGAGACTTCCTCGAACTTGCTACGTCTGCGCCAGTTCTCCGCGAGGAATATCCTACGCTGGTCAGATATACACATGCATAACGTCGAGTCTCCTTACCAGCCAGCCCCGCTGTCACCCAGTCCATGCGCCACGATGACAGTGGCCGTGTGTCGCTTGAGCGCAGGAACAACCAGCGGCGCCTTGTGAGCCATGATGAGCTTAGTCTGAAGGCGTTCAAGAGGTATCGATAGTGTCGATAGACGTGGGGTAGCTCTGATCAGAGGTGACGGACTCCCGACAAAGTGGACCTCGGCGCGTCCTCGTCATGCGCGCTAAGGCAGGGACAAGGGCCAAAGCTCCAATCATCGTCATCGACGTCATGATACCTGCCTTCACCATTCACGCGTAGTTTCCCCTTTCCGGCCACTCACCCTTCACTTTTCGAGGTTTGCAGCTCACGAGATACCTCAAGTGATCCCGTTCTATCACCCGTCTTCAATTCGTTTGCTCAGCACATCTCCTCACCATTGCATTCAAACTTCCTTACAAGCAACTCCTGGCATTGCGCCCAAGCCCATTGACGATCTCATCGAATCGACTTGCCATCTCCACTATACCAAGCATGGCACGAGCAACCAGGAGCTCCGCCAGGGCCGATGCCGTGCAAGCGCCAGCCATTGGCCAAGAACCAGTACAACTCTCGAGTCCACCGACTACCCCAGAGGCGCGCAATGGACGAAAGAGGAAAGCAGTCAAGGTTGAAGAATCGCCAGACGCGACCTCCAAGAAAGCACCCATCACACCAAAGAGCAACAAGCGTGCAAAGAAGGCGGCCGTGAAGCAGGAGGACATCAACGAACTCCCGCACAACCTTGGTGCTATTCCTTCCCTCCCAGTCAAGAGTGAGGAGGAACAGAGCAAGCCCTCGGCCAAGAAGCCTAGGAAGTCTGCAAAGACAGCCAAGCCGAAGAAAGAGGAAGTCGATGACCTCGTTGCCAAAGCGACTGCCACCACCGACGCGTCGCCGAAGAAGAAGAGCAAGGCCAAGACAGGTGGCTATGGCCTTACTCCAGGCCAGACACCATACCCGAACTACCCTCATCCTACAGCCGAAGAATGCGAAGAGGTCACACGTCTCCTTTCGAAAGTTCACGGCAAGGTCGAAGCACCCAAGACAATCCCCGCGCCTTCTCTTGAAGTCTCCGGTTGTGGAGAAGTACCATCCGTCCTCGATGCCCTCATTCGAACGCGTCTTTCGGCAGCGACGTCCGGCACCAACTCATCTCGCGCATTCGCTGGTCTCGTCGCCAAGTTTGGCATTCTCCAAGAAGGCGTTGGCAAAGGCAGTGTAGACTGGAACAAAGTGCGACAAGCAGACCAGAAGGAGATCTTCGAGGCCATCAAGAGCGGCGGACTCGCAGACGTGAAGAGCAAAGACATCAAGAAGATCCTGCAAATGGTCTGGGAAGAGAACCAGGCGCGGCGCGACGAGCTGTTGTCTTCATCAGACAAAGCCCCTGGCTCCGCGAACGAGGCCGAAGGCGAGAAACACGCAGAGGTCGAGAAGGCAGATCAGAACATCGTCTCACTCGACCACCTGCACCTCCTCTCCAACGACGACGCCTTCAACGCACTAACAAAGTACCCCGGCATCGGCCCCAAAACCGCATCCTGCGTCCTCCTCTTCTGCCTCCAACGCCCCTCCTTCGCCGTCGACACCCACGTCTTTCGCCTGTGTAAATGGCTAGGCTGGGTGCCTCCCCCAGGCGACCCCGCAGGCCTCGCACCCGGCGCAAAAGGCACCTTCGCAGGCGCAAACCGCAACTCAACGTACGCGCACTGCGAAGTCAGAGTTCCGGACCACCTCAAGTACCCGCTTCACCAACTGCTTATCAAACATGGAAAGAGCTGTCCGAGGTGTCGCGCGATAACAGGTGAAAGCAGTGAGGGGTGGGATGAGGGCTGTCCAATTGATCATCTTGTTCAGAGGACTGGTGGAAGGAAGGAGGGTGGCGGTAGTCCTGTTAAGGAAGCTGGGGGTAGTGCGAAGAAGAGCAAGAGCAAGAAGAAGGTTGTGGAGGAGTATGAGAGTGATGCGGTGAGTAGTGGGTTGAGCGACGCGGAGAGCGATGTGTTGAGCGATGTGGTCAGTGATGCGGAGGTGGAGGAGTCAGAAGAGGAGGTTGAAGCGTCTGAGTGAAGGGGACGAGTCTATTTTGCGTCATATTAGGGCATTTATCTCGGTACCTAACGGTTAGGCCAGGGGCCGCCAGTCATTTCCTTCATATGTATACTATCTCCTCATATATTTACAAATCTAGCATACATACATTATATCCTAATCTTTCTCTCAGTGCCTCGATATTCGGAATTCTGGAGGAGACAGAGAAGGATAGGGATAGAGCTTGGTGGAATGTTAAGAGTGGTATTTGGTTTAATTCTTAAGGTGTATTTCCTGCGATTTGAGATTTGTGTCAGCGTCTAGACATGACTAATGAGATACGATGACATCAATGCGTTTACAATTTCTCATGAGAGATAAGAGGTAATCTGCAGACTTCGAGAGTAAGATTAGTGAAGCAGACGCGAAAGTAGCGGATATAGTAGTATCTTTTGCACTACTTCATTTGCCCAGCAAGCACATCAAGTACTCAGCACACCAAGTACTCGACACCAACATCATTTTATAGCACATGGCATCGTCGCAAGCAATCATGTGAAATTCTTACCGAGAGAATCTAGGAACGTGACAAGGCGGTAACGTTGGCGGTTGAACTGCGGCTGAGGCGGATGACGTTAGCGCGGTTAGGCTCCTCGGGGCGAGCATGCAACAAAGCCGAGAACGGGTCATAGCGCGGCTTTCACATGATGGCAGCGCACGCACGCTTCCTCCACAAACCTGTCACATGCTCGACGCTCACCCAACCACACAGCCTCAAACCAGCTAATGCGCCGCCGCTTGTCGACGGGCTGAACGGCTATTCCTGTAGTCATGGACAAACCACGCAGGACGGCTGACTTGGCCTTCCCCCATTTCCACGCCTTTCCCCGTTACCCCAGACGGATCCACACCGGGTTTGACATTGCGACGTGACATTCACATGCTTACGAATTACAACACACGCATTACCGACATCGTAAGCCCTGCGACACCACGTGGAGACCCGACTTGACGCCTTTCATGACGCACAGGAGACCTGCGACTGTATTCACTGGGTTCGATATAGCTGTTTGTGCTGGGAGAGAGGTACAGTCATGATAGACCATGTATTGGGACGGCCGTCGGTGCAGTTCAGAAAGATACAGGTACTGGCTGTAGTGTCCTTTTGGTCGTTCTATCTCTACAGGTAAGCAAACATCAACTCTCACAACCGCATCATACTAACACACACACAGAGGCGATCGCCATGGCCCACCAATCCTTCGCCGCGTATCCGCCCTCCTCTCCAAGAAACTCACCGTCTGGCAATCCGTCCTCATAACACTGCTCTACCTCTACGTCGCGCGCAACTTCGGCAAGCTCGTTGGCCTTGAGTGTCCCGAGCCACTCGCAAGCCTGTACTCGCGTTCATACTTCCGTGCGACATGGGTTACGACTGCGCTGGACGCAGGCTTCTGGTCTGCTATGCGAATAAAACGAAAAGGTGTAAGGGATCTGCTGTCGATTGTGTTCAGCATATACTACATGATATGTGCTGAGCAGGCAGATGAGAAAGTCAGGAAGATCAGAGCGACGCTCACAGTAGACCATCTGCGCGTGGCGTGGAATAAAGGGACGACACCGTATCTGGGCGCGCTGACGAGCATGATGCGACCAAGGCTGATGGTGTATCCGCCGCGCCAGATTCGCATACCACGACCAAGGGCTAGTTCGTACAAAGAGCCAGTAACAGGTTGGCTGTACTTCAATGGGCCACGGAGCGCACTGAAGAAGCAGGACAAGGTTGTCTTGGATATCCCCGGGGGTGGTTTTGTTGCTATGAACCCAAGGAATCACGATGATAAGCTCATGGGCTGGGCTGGCAAGACGGGACTGCCTGTCCTCAGTCTAGACTACAAGAAGGCGCCTGAACACCCATATCCATACGCGCTTAACGAGTGCTACGACGTCTATCACATGATCATCGCGTCGAGAGGAACTTGCATGGGCCTGTCAGGAGAAGCAGAGCCCAAGGTCGTCGTCTCAGGCGATTCAGCTGGTGGGAACTTGGCTGTGGCCATGATACTCATGATACTTCAGAGTGGTTCCACCGAGACACGAAGATGGCAGGGCGAATCCCCTATACCACCTCCCATTGGCGTGGTGTTGATCTATCCCGCGCTCGACATGAACATTGGGAATTGGATGACGGATGAGCAAATGGCACTCATCCGCGACCGGCGCGTGAGAAAGACGAACCGACCTATCCTACGGCACAAGAGCGACGACTACCGACAGCTTGCACCGAACACACCGTATGGGTCTGATGACTCGGATAGTGAGGACGAGCGCACCAAAATGAGCATGGCCAATGGATCTGTGCCCAAAGCCAACGGCGGCGACATTACGTCTCCCCAGACCATGATCAAACTCTCCGCCGCACACACAGGTCAGGATAGCAGTACCGCCACTCTCCAGCAACCTCCCAGCCAGAAATCAAGTCTCCCACCAACACCTCTCGCAACCCAACCTCCCACTCCTGGTGCCGCTGCCCTTCCCGCACCACCCGCCACAGCCATCAAAACCCGCCTCGCAATGTCCAGCATGATATCCTACTTCAACGACCGCATCCTCACCCCCGAAATGATGCGTGCCATGATCATCCTCTACATCGGACCCCACCACCGCCCCGATTTCAGCACAGACTACCTCCTCTCCCCACTTCTTGCCCCTGAGTCCCTCTTAGCCAAGTTCCCTCGAACGTGGATGTTGACAGGAGAGCGCGATCCCCTGGTCGACGATACTGTCATCTTCGCAGGCAGATTACGTCAGGCTAAACGCGCAGAATGGGTCGCAGCGAAGGAGTTGGGACTAGACTGGGCACGAGGCAGTTTCAACGAGGAGGACAGCGTCGTAGTCGATCTCGTCCCCGGTATAAGCCACGGTTTCCTCCAATTCGTCGGCGTGTTCCCCGAAGGTTGGAAGTATATTTTCAAATGCGGAAAATGGATTACCGAAGCCTTTGAAGAGACAGACTCAAGAAGATATGGATACGATGCCGAGACACCGGGGTACACGCCTGCCGCGGGCACAACTACAAGGAGAAGAGAAGGAGGCGATTACTTCGGTACAATAGGCCTCGCAGATGCGATTGATGGTCTTACGAGTCCGAAGTTTAGTCGCAGGAGACATCATCGTAGGAGTGGGACGGCGAGTTCGGCGGATGAGGATAGACCATTGGAGATGACGGTGTTGGGCAAGGGGAGGAGGAGTCCGCAGAAAGATGGGGGTGAAGGTGTGGCTGGTGGGAGAGGGGTTGGGAGGGAGAGGGGTAGGATGAAGAGTGATAGGGGGAGGAGGAAGAGTTTGGTTAGTTTGGCGAGTGAGGATGATTTGTTGGGGAGGAGGATGAAGAGTTTGACGGGAGCGCTGGGGGGTGATGGGGTGATTTGATGGTGTTTTTGGCTCCGCAAGCACATATATCGTTTGTTTTAGTGCGTATATATTCTGAATAGAAGATGATTTTATGAGGGTTGGGTATTGTGGATCTCGTCGTGTGCTAACTCATGGCAAGGGCATCGGAATATCATCGATATGGTGGGACGAGACTCAACATCAAAGATATGCGATATGCTGTTTACAGACAGCTACCCGATCATCCTGGAACGACATCCTGCGCTGAGCCAGATACCAGTCCGCCATGCGCAGTCTTGCTGTGCCGCAATCACGACATCACCGTTGATTCGTCAACAAGTCACACAAGCGCTATGAAAGGACCGATCCTTGCTCCATCACGCGCATGTCGCTGCGGGCTCATGTCTCTCTGGCCTATTGTAAGGCTAGAAAGTTTCACAGAGATACTTCAAGGTTTTCTACCCTGCTTGTGTTCGTTCGGAGTGGCTTGGCATACTGGGAGGGAAAGCCGCACTTGTTTCACTAAGGAGCCCGCCCCGACTCTTCTGGCCTGGTTATTGCAATACCAAGCCTGATTTTCTTTCATCTCTTTACCAGAAAGTGTAGAGCCTGTCTCTTCTGCTGAACTCGCCATAACCACTTATCGTCCATATCCTAGCTCGTGAGAGCGGGTCCGGATCGAAATGAGGGGAGCATACATTGATAGGCGCCAGGGCTCGGTCTTCCCAGAGATCACATCTGACACCGCGTCGATCCAATCTTCCACTCTCCAGCAAATTACATCAGCGATTGGGACTGCTCTCTATCCTTCTTCGACCGGTTTCGACACACCTCGCAGCTCAACCATAAACTCGCTGGTCTCGAGCACGGAAAGCAGCGACGGTACAACATCAACTCCGCAGCCATCGGATGGCAATGTGCCGACAGCGGCGCCACAGGACAATGGCAGTGGTAGTTCAGGGCTGGGAGGTGGCGCAATCGCTGGCATAGCAATTGCAGCAGTCCTCGTTTTCGCGCTCATCGGTGGATGGTTCTTCTGGCGGCGAAGAAAACGCATGAGAGGGAAGCCCACCAGTACCGAGATTAGTGCCCATATCGCAGGAGACGGGGGCGGAGATGGAGGCATACCAGAGCTCGATACAAAGGAGCGGCCACAAGAAATGCCAGGAAGTCGTCAGGTGGAAACGCAAGAGCTGCATCCTACACAGTACACCAAATACGCTATGAACGGATCTCATGAGCTGAAAACCGAGTCTGAGCCGGCTGAGCTGTTGAGTGGCCCTGATGAGTACACTGCGCCAGCCCCTTATCACGCTCCGCAACGGCCCGCTGCTGAGATGACGGAGATGACGGATACGACTGAGGCGACAAACAATTCACTCTCATCTAATGTCGAAGCGCAACGGCGGAGAGAGATGGAATGGCTAGAGATGGAGGAGGAAAGGATGCGGAAGCGGCGAGAATTGCTTGCGGCGCAAGGCGGTGCGAAGAATTGATAGTACAGGCAAAGCAAATTCCACACTTTCCCGATTTCGAAAGAAACTCAAACATAAAGTAAAAGCGTCCATATGTCTCTCTATGCCGCAAGGCTGGAGAACCTCAAATCTACTGTCTGCCGAAGCATCGCACCGAGGGCAAAAGCTCCCAACACATACCTGCGACCGAAACTGCGACCTCTAAATCCATCACTACAGCATGCATTGATATGACGACAAAGGTCTGATCATTCCGGTACATAGGATAGCCTCGTCGAATGAGAAGTTCGTCCACCATGCACAGCCTTGCTCGCTTGACTGTGCCGCAAACACAGTCCCGATGTTTGATTCGATACTGCGTCACACGACCTGTAGGAAAGGCCCGATGCATCACTTTCGACGTGTAGATAAGTGGGTACCTTTGTCTCTTTGACCTATTGGCCTATCGCGAGAAGGAAGGGATTGCTTAGGATTGGGGGCGATGGATTGAGGTACCCCGCCCGCTGTTGAGAAGTACTTGCGGTGATGTATGAATGCCAGGGAACTCTTTAGAGTCACATGGCCTGTTGTCTGATCTCATTATACGTGATATTTCGCGCATTAACTCCCGACAATTCGAAGGGTCTTCGATTTCCATCCGCCCAATTCCTCGGTCCCACGCACCCCATCCACAATGACATCCACATCCACAAAGACAGACACATCCATAGTGATAGTCACATCCTGGAAGACAGACGCATCTACGACGACAGAGGCATCCACAACCACAGACGCGCCCGCAATAACCGGCCCACCAAAAAATACATACGGCTGGTTCAGCGTCGAGGGCTGGGATTCCGCCGACACAACTATAACAACAAGGTTGTTCTTTACAGAGCCACCAGAACTAGGGCCCATATACATGACGCTGGTCATGTTTCCCCATCAATATGGTATCAGCCTTCCGCCTGATCTTCAGACCATGACGAAGGCAGACAAAACCTATCGCGTATCCGGATGTGAAATCTCTTTAGCGACAGATCGGAACGTGATAGCCTTCCGTCGTGACCCTTTTGGACAAGGTGTTTATGAGACGAGTACTGTTGAGACAACGACGCAATCAACGCCGGTGGAGATCTCAGCACCAAGTTCCACAAATGTTGGAGAGAGTCAAACAACTTCAGCAGCTGATGCGACAACGGACTCGGAAGCTTCGGGTTCTGAAGGCAGCGCGAGTGCGATACAATCCGACAGTGGGACTCAATATACAACAGCCGCAGCGGATACCAACACCAAAAGTCCGGGACTAAGTGGCGGCGCAATCGCCGGCATAGCTATAGGCGGAATTGTTATCCTCGCCCTTGTCATAGGTGGCTGGTACTTCTGGCGCCGAAGAAGACGCATACAGTCTACGACAAGCAAAAACACACATGAAGCCGACGAACGAGCAGAACAAGATGATGAGAAGAGTCTTCCTGATCCGCAGTACGACGCATCCACATTCGGCGCTCGTCAAGAGATGTCTGGCGATAGTCGCGCGCAGGAACTGTCCCGCTCGCAGTCGCACAGATATATAGCGCATGAGATCGGGTCTGATGATATACCGGGGGAATTACCACTTCCTGGAGTGACTGAGGCGACAGATGAAGGGGAAGTGGAGATACCAGTTCCGGCAAACGATAATACTGCTTCACATACCTCGCCACATATAGAAGCGCAGAGAAGGAGAGAACTAGAATGGCTAAAGATGGAAGAGGAAAGAATACGGAAGAGACAGGAGACGCTTCTAATGCAAGGGGGTGGGAAGGTTGATGGGAGCAGAGAGGCTGAATGAATGTTCTTGCGACGCCAGCGAAGGAGACGAACGATACGGAAGCAAATGGGGAGAGTTCCCAAGGTTCGACAGAACGATTATGAAATCGGGCGCGGAACAGTGGTTTGGTGTGGAGATGTGTGAACGTCGTGAGGCTTGGTGCCCAGGTGGCGGAGATCGTTGCGCGCAGTTGCTGAGCTGTAAAAGGAGAAGTAGCCTTGGAAGGCGATGTGGCTGACTTGGTCGGTGCCAGAAACATCGAGTGGATTGACCGATGTCCATGTAAGCTGCATGTTCGCCCTGCACGGCACAGCCCGTGACGGTCTCAACATGTCGAATCAACGGTTGCTGGGATAGATAGGGTTGGGGCGGAAAGGCCATCTAGCGAATAGACGGCATGCGCAGGCAGAACCACATTTAGCCAGCTCTCAGAAGGGTAGCCGCTAAACTACATACGGTACGCAATTTATGAATTTATAATTCCAACCGTTGTGCGACGGCAGCCCCAACCCTGCGCAGGTGGACCGTTGTATAGGATAATAAAGGAGATGATTCTAAGGTCCCCCTTGCTATCTGCTCTAGCTTTCTTTCCTCATCCTATCTACACTCGCATGTCTTTGGATGTATCTCATTCTGCTATAAAAGCAGCGACCACTTACAACAGTCCCAACCATGACAGATCAAGCCTCTAAAACAGCATGGAAAACTGTAACACTGATCAAGGTGTGGAATTCAGTGCTCGAAACAGAAGTCTATCAGTCAACTCTGTTCTGGAACGATGCACCGCTCACGATCCTTACGATAGAAGAGTCACCGACGCTTGCAGTTGAAATAACCTCCACTGGTAACCCTAAAACGCACGTTACGATACGCAATGGAGATCCAATTGAAACAGTACACAGCCTCATTCTGTCTCTTCAATCAAATGTACTCCTTTTCACTGTCAATTCGGGACTTGCAGTAACACCCCCGTCACTAAGTTCGGCATCCTCAACAACAGTTCGACCCACCACCACAACCAAGCCACCTCGTACTACCCGGACATCACGCCCCAATCCTACCCGCAACGGCAAGTCCAAACATGGCGTAGGGGGTGGTGCAATAGCCGGAATAGCGATAGCAGGCATCGTCATCCTCGCCCTCATCATAGGCGGCTGGTACTTCTGGCGACGCAAGAAGCGGAGGACACAGGCACCCACGACTACGCTCACCGACGACGAATTAGCGAGGCGAGAAGGCGACGGCGATAAGATGGTCCTCGATACGGATCACAACGCGACCAGAACGGGAGCGGACCAGACCGAATACCAAGAGATGTCGGGCAATGGCCTCACTCAGGAATTGGATCGGTCGCACTCGTACAAATATGCGGTGGGGGGAGCGCAGGAGCTCAGAGCTGAGGATCAGCCGGGAGAGTTGCCGTACAATGGGATGGAAGAACATGGGAGAGCGAATGAGACTGGGGTCGTCGGAATGGACGATGGAGGTGATGGCAGGAATGCGGTGACGATACCAATACCGGGGGCGAACAATCCAACGTCACAAGTCTCGCCACATGTGGAAGCGCAGCGAAAGAGAGAAGTGGAGTGGTTAGAGATGGAAGAGACAAGAATGAGACAGCGGCGAGAAGCACTTTTACAACAGGGTGGTGGTCAACACACGTAATACATTAGAAAGAGTTTGGAGCCAATTATGATGCAAAAGTGCATACTACCAACCTAAACCACGTCCTATCAAGCCCATCATCGCATCCAGTAACCCACATGAAATTACCCCCATGAAGTACCATCTTCCAACCCCGCCAAACCCTCCATCACACCCTACTCAACCACCTCAACCTTAACCTTCCCCCCCTTAACCATATCCGCCAACTTCGTCTTCATAACCTCCAACTCCCTCTTCGCATCCCTATTCTCCTTCCCCCTCGCTCTCTCATCCGCAAGCTCCTTCTCGAGCCCCAACACCTTAGCAGTCAACAAAGCGTTCTGCTGTCTCACCTCGATAACCCGCTTCTCCATATCCTGGTCCACAACACCCTTCTTCGCCTTCTCAGCCGCAAGTTCCCGCTTCAGTATCTTAATGTCGTTTTGCAGTTTGCCCTGCAACAGGACTTTGTCGTCGATTCGAGCTTTGGAGGTCCTATGCAAAGTGTTCAGGTTTTTGAAACTCTGCTGAAGGGTCGCGATCTTAGCGTCCTTGGTCTCGAGAGCGCTGCGGTGCTGGGTCTCGAGCTCGGACATGGAGTGGCGGATTGCGCATAGGGCGCTGATGGCTTCGTTGATGCGGTGGTGGGGGTTGAACATCTGGTTGTTGTTAGTGAACTGAGACGCCTACGGCTGCATCAAGGGATAGTAGACGCACGGGGCCGGAGTTGTGCGGCGGACGACGGGCTTCTTGGACGCCGTGGCGCGCTGAGGGTGGGAGATATGTGCCGAACATGGACGCGTCTCTGGGTGGGGGATTCGGTGGAGCCATGTTGTTGGAGAATTTGGGGGTTGTAATTGTTGATGGAAGGCGAGTGGATGGGCGGTGATCCTCGTGCGGAGAGGAATGTCGCGGGAAGTGGTAGCAATCTCGCGGTAAGGTGGTAAAGAAGAGAGAGAGTTTAATAGTGCAAGAGGTGTCGGAAAATTCGGTAATGAAGTAAAAGAGCGTATCGAATGGGGTAAGAGAGGGGGTTATGGAAGTAGCGACCGTGGCGTGACCGACATCTCGAAGTCAAGGTAAGTGGTCGACGAATCAGGACTGCTTGGAGCGTTTGCACCGCGATGCGCTGCTGTGTGGGTAACGTCGGTACATGTTCAAATCAGCTATCAATTGCGGGGTATACACTGCTCAAGATGTCTCGTTGGTTCTTCGGGATCGACTTGAACGAGTAGGACGAGCAATCGCCCGTCATCGAGCATGAGTAAAAGCACACATTTGATTTGGATCAAGACTGCGGAAAAGAATGGGACTGATACAATGCGAGATGAGACTTCAGATCGAGTTGAAACCGACTACGACTAAACTAAGGTAATAGTACGCGGCGGAACATGATCTGAGGCAGTCAATGAAAGCCTGATCTCAAAGTATCCGACTCGAATATACGTGTTTGCCGTTCCTTTGACTTTTACGATACAAATCCCTAGGTCTGGTGTAATCATCAACGCATTGCAGGACTTGTACCAGACGAAGTCAAGTTTGACCCAAGCCGTAACTCGTCCACCGTTGCCGAGCAAAATCCCACAGGCACGACCGAATTCGGACTCCTCTCCAGAAATATGTCTAATGGATGTGACCGCTCCTGTGATACGGGCAAAACCGGCCTTGAGTGCGCCAAACGGATCCAGACCGCTAGGAAAGGTGACACATTCTTCAAGACGGGCACAAAAATGCCCAGAGATCTGCCATGCATACGAGTAGTCTATGTTTCCTACTACAGATGCCCAAGACCAAGATGGGGCGATCCAACCTTTCCGTTTCCGCTCTGAACGAGAATCTGATCCTTGTGCTTTGCGTGAAATTAAACTTCCCGGCAAGTACCATAGAAGGCCTTCAAGGAAGTGACGCTTCCAAAGTCCCGCATAGTATGCGTCTCCAGTAATCTTTTGGATTCTTTGAACAATACCAGATATTGCCGGAAAGGTATCTGTCTCGTAGGTCAATTCTTGTGCGCTATACAATCGTGTGAAGTTTGCCCAGCCACTCGAATGAAACTCGTGAGACAAAGGCTGTCTTAGGCCCTGCAACATCTCTTGAAAGTCCGTCCGGGGTCGAAGGGTTAATGCCGGTCTATAAAATGATTCAGTCTCATCAATATGAGCGCATCTCCAGGTCATCTGGTCATTGTCAAAACTCAGAACACGGTGAGAGAGTAGGTTTTCCTGGGTAGCCCACCCACGATATTCCAGTGCTTGGAGTTGCTAGGCATGGTCAACTTTTGACTGAACTCATGTTTTCGAGTTCAACTTACCTCCACAGACCTTTCTATCTGCTTACAGAAGTATAGCTCGAAAGAGCCATCCTCATCTTCAATGCACGCCCGGAGCGAGGGATCGATGTTGCGAGTGCCGAGGAACCCCTCTCCGCAATTCTTTGCCCGTGAAGCAGCTAGAGTCAGGTACGCATTGGAGTATATATCTGCCATACGTGCCGCTTCGCGTTCCCAGTCTGCCTTTGAGTCCTGCAGAATGCACAAGCAATCGATCCAGACATATCTAATACCCAGGTATCGTACCACCATAACAGCGTCCTGCAAGGTTTGAGGTAGCTTTTCGAAGCCGATAGCAGACTCATGTGCTTGCAGGTTTGTTGTAGTCGTTTCTAAGGGTAAACTATCACCCCAACAGTAGCTTAGGGCAGCATAGCGTCCTCGCTGACCTCTGGAAGTCTGGAGAAGGTTAAGACTCTCTGCCTGAAACAGGTCTCGCCAATTGTCATGCTGTCCAAGCATCTGTTCGGGTCCAGGAAGCATGCCTATGTCCAAGATTCGCGTTGGTAGCGGGGCGACTCGCAGTGACAGATGGGAGCACTTGTAGTGGCTAGTTTTACAGCTTTCCATCCAAGACAGCATCCGGCCAAGTGTGTGAGGGTGAAGTGTCTCTTGTAACACGGCATAAGGGAGTTGACGCGTCAATGGGCTATCTGTATCGCCCAATTAGTTTCTGTCTCCTCATGTTGCGGCGCATTGCGAGATTACCGAGAGGTTTCCGAAGAGCAACGTGCAGCCAATCGGTTTTCACATGAGTGGAGGTGCCTAGTTTGATACTGAGGTACGGAAATTTATAGCTATTCTCGCATATTAACATCCAGATGGTAAGATGTCGCGGAATAAGAGTCTCGATCTCTTTCCATCCGACGCCCTGCACACAGCTATTCGGAGTCCATGTGTGGTTCTCGATCGTTGTCAAGATGAAGGCGCAAATCGAGCATGTTCTTGCAAGAAGCCTGATATTTGCAACAGGGCATCGTCGTTCGTTCCAAGAAAGGTCGTCCGGGAAGAATGAGGGTATTCGTCCAGCCTCGTTGAACCTGAAAGAATCGTTCCTAAGAGCATCTGCTCCACTATTGATAAGTTTGCGGAATGGTATTGATCTGCAAGCTTCGCATAGAGACATGTTCGATGATGTGATATGATGGGTGTGACGTGTCTAGGTGTGGTACCTCCAGGGCTCCCTCAGCGCAGCTCCCAATATCTCTAAACGCTGCTGCCTAAGCCTCCCTGCACTAGCGCGATTCCTACGCTAGCCTCATTCAGCGCCTAAACTTGGCTAATGAGAGCAGGTGTCTGGAGATGTATTTACTGATATAGGAGCAGATGAGAGAACCTGTCTCTGGCTCAAAATGGGACCTAGTCTTGGTTCGCGCTGGTTGTTGAGGCTGCACGATCGTAACGGAGAGGTCGAAGTTCTACAATATGAAAACACTTGCAATTGCAATTGACCAGAGAGACAGCAATCGGGAGGCTAGAACGACACCGAAGTCTTTATGTATACGGGTTCCTTAGAGTGCGTATAGTGTTCAACGTTGTGCAAGTCCAATGGCTCATGGTAGATGTAACCGGACAGCAGTCTTGATAAAAGCGTACTCTCTCTCTCTCTCTCTCCTTATGTCTCTCAGGTGGTTGTCGAGCTGAGTGTGGAAGAAACTCAGATGTGTCAGACGGATTCTGTGATGTCTTGTAAAAGATGACGCCGCTCATTACGCTCGAAGTCGCGGCGGACAGATACCAGTAGACCTTAGGATGCTGGCAACTACAGGTAACACGCAAGTATTGTCTATACTGATAGACAATCCAGACACCTACGACAGTGCTGGGTGTTACTGATTTGCTTACTTTCTTGTAATGTAGGCTGCAGAAGGCACCCATTTAGTACCTTAATCCATTGGCGATGGGAACCGAGACATTCACGTTCATGCTGGATCGCGTTAATCTACTTACTGTATCGTAGTGCAGGCTGCAGGAGAGGCCCGCTAACGCGTTTCCTGCCTGAGGTGAGCACATGTCTTCGATGCGCTGCATCGTCCATGAGCCATCTCGCAGCGGCGTTGCCGAAGTGGGCAGGGGGCTCGGTCGTTAATATCGCGTATCGCCTATCTCTGGCGTGTGAAGAGATCAACGGCTCGTTCGGTCCTATTGAAGCAAACTCTGTAAGAACAAAGAAGGTTCATCATCGGCTCATGTGAGGAAGACAGGCATGTGTGCGTCTGATGCACACACTGACGATACCACCTCTCCATCGACGGGACGGCAGTGCAAACAGTTCAATGGCGCATACCAACTAGTCGGCGGTTTGATTAGAAGACAACCTCTGCGATTGCATCATCCCTCTGGAAAGGCCGTGAATCGCAGCGCACCTAGCCCAAGCGCGTAAGAACGATTGCGCACACCCCGCGGAAAAGACTGGTGTGAACGTGTGGCGGTGCAACAAAAAACGCAGGGTCTGGCCGCTGCGCCACGTGTACCCGCATGTGTAAACAGGGGCAGCGAGCTGAAAAGACGAAAACTCAAATTCTGTCCAGTCGATATTGCGCGTCACCTGGTGTTGGTGGAGATGACAGTCAGGGCCAGAGGATTGGCTGCAGCCGCAGATGAGATCGTAGACGTGGTGAGACGGGATGTGGCTTCAATCTAGATCGTCGGTTCCCACAGGGGGTGTGGAGTTGTCAATCCTTCCCGCTGTGTGCGAGGAGCGGCTGCGCGTGTCAATCAGTTGTGACTATCACTGCGGGATCAAGATGCGGTGGGGAGAATAGGCTTTCTGTGTCTGTGTCGTGTCTGTGTGCAGTGCAGGGTGATAGGATGCGCACAGAGTACGGTGAGATGGCATCGTCATAGTTTCGGCTGCTTAACCGCAACAACGCATAGTCGGTTCTGTGCCGTGTTTGTTCGCTGTATCACTGTATCGTCGGTCGCTTTCAACCAAGGTGGCTTCCTGACACCTGACAGGGAGAAGGGGTAGCCCGGCAGCGGACAAGGCTCGATTGACGTAATTGTCGTACCGCATCCAGGACGATCGCTAGCGAGGCTGGGAGCTTGGCAATGTTCTCTCAACTGGATTTGCGCCGCATGTCGCGAATCACAAGGTTGCTTTTCCGCCAGCTCGGTAATTTCCTTGGGCCCTTGTCGCGCATCCTTCACATGAAAGACGCGTCTCGAGCCGGACATGGGTGGGTGAAAAGTCTCACCTCACTTCACGGCCACGCCGAGCTGCATCACCGCCACGCAGTGAAAAGCCTTCCGCAATTGAGGCTGGTGATGCAGCCCGCAGTGAAGTGTCAGGGTCCAGAAGCTGGATGCGCGCAGCTAAGCTGAAGGGGTTAGCGGGCTGGCTCGAGTCGCGCGATAGGACCGATTTGTGGAGTGTGCTTGGACCACGACGTCACACTAGAGGCTGTGGACTCCTTGTATAGCGCCCGCAGTCCTGTTTATTTGTATGCAGTCCTAGAGCCTCCTCATTTCCTAAGAAGCATCTTCCCTTCGCGACTCCTTC